ATAAAAGGCCGAAAACCGGCAGCTTTTATTGCTGATTCGTATTAGCATCAAAAGTTTTCGTCGTTAAACACCAGCAGCCGGGCTGCAGCATTTTTGGAAAGGTCGCCCTGTCTATGCAGAAAAAGTTCACAAACAAAAAACCTGAAAAATTTCCAAGTGTAAAAAAGTTATATTAACAAACTTAAAAATATACGAATTAACTTTTGTTACATTTTTGGGGCTGCATGAATTAAAAAAATTGAAAATGCTCGTTCCAGGTTTTTTCCGCAGAAATATTTAAATTTGGAAAGGAATTGTACTTTTTATTTTTTTTAAATAATTTTACATGAACTACGTTTTTGAATGCTTAAATTTTCTTTCTAACATGGCTTTATATGGAAATTTTAATTTAACATCTGAAAAATTAATATTACTTGAAATCAACCCGTTTCATATAAATGAAAGTTTAAAAAATTCTACGTCATATCACCCAAATTAATTAATAAGTTAAAATAATAAAACTGAACTCTGCTTCAAATTTTATAACAACAGGATTCAAATTCAGACTAATGAATAATTAAAATATGCATTACTTTTTTCACTTTAAATGTTTAAATTAAATTCAATTAAAAAAATTATATTTCAATGAAGAAAAATGTTACCATAAATCAAATTTTGAAGTTTATTTTATTTAGGATCAACATTGGCGTCCCTCGTCAGACATCCCTCAAAATGCCATTTGCATTTCCGCAGCGGCGTGCCTTTTCACCCCTACACGTCGTTTATTGCCTGAGTCGATTGCAAAGTTGCTCAATGCGCCGGCTCACTTGAATTCATTTCACACATTACGCTGACGTTTAGCACCTCTTTCTATTTGAAAAATTACACGTGCGCGCTCAAATTCAAAAGTCGAGCGAATAAAAGTCGAGCAAAGTTTTTCATCAACGAGATTGCTCGCTCGCCTCTCTCGCACAAATTCCGCCAACGATGTTGTGGTTGGGGGCTAATTAATTGCGGCGCCTCCCGAAAATCATTTCCCTTGCGACGCCCGGGGCTGTGAAATTTACGCCTCGAAAGAAGAAGCGTTTCCCCGTGACAGAAACGCGTCACCCTTCGCCCGATAAGACGGGTGGCAGTCGATAAAAAGTAAAAAAAAAAGAAAAAGACACCAGGGGACGGACGCCTTATTCCAGACGAGAGATATCGCTCAGGGAGAAGTCATTTCTCGTTCTCTTCTCGGGAGCATCCGAGAGAATTTTACAAGCCGCTGCGTCTGGAAATTAAAAATCAGTTTACTCTCTATAAATAGAGATCGGTTTTGCTGGCGTCGGTGCACATAATCTCGTCACCAGCGCTATATCGATTTTTGCACCATTCCGGCGTATTAGTATATTCTGCTCTCGTTTTGTTTGTTTCTGGTGAAGTGGAAGAGATGATGGCACAATTTCCACGTCGTCTCGCGCATTTCGAAATGTTCATTCAAATGTTGCTAAACTTGAATGAACATCTTGAGGCAGCGATAAGTAGACAGATTTAAGTCGGAAAGTCAAATTTATTAATTTTTCAAAAGAGCTGCAGAAATCAAGTGACAATTTCTTTTTATTAAACCTTCTGCTCAAATTATTTAAAAGAAGGAACAAAGTTAATTTGGCCTAATCAAGTTAAAATCCAATCAGTGAAATTGCTAAATGCTTTTTCAACGTATAAATTAATTTTTCCAAGTCTTTTGCGTGTTTGAAGTTGAATGAAGCAGCTTATGATGTCAATATTTGAGGGGGAAAATATAATTTCATGATATTTAAATAATTATTTTCAAAATAACGGTCACTTTGATTTAAAGATTCAATGTTTTTCCCGGTAAAATAAATATTGATTGAAGTTTTAATGAGAAGTTTGTATAAACTCGCAGTGCTCATTAAAATTCTGCAATTAAGAATTTGTTTTATGAATCTGAAAGGTCATTATAAAAGCAATTATTTTGTGTGTGAATAATTAATAACTAAGACATCATAAATTATACATGAATAAAATTCACAAAGGTCCAATATTTGAAATTTTTTTGGAGAAAATTAAAAAAGATCAAAGAACTCTCCTCCAATTAAATTTTACCTTCCGTATAATTAACAAAAATGTGAGTTAATTAAATTACTGCTTTTGATGCGATAACCATTCAAATGAAATTTTAATTTCCCAATTTTCTGGGCTTCAATATGAATTTTGAAGAAGTTATTATGTCATGCCTACCGAACTGGATCTGTCTGGTCCTGGAAGCTGTAAATTAGGCGCGTCACGTTAATAACAAACAATTTTTCTCAGCAGACGGCCGAGTGAGCACATCCGGTGTGTGTCGGTGCGTTGTGTTTGTATCTGAATTGCTGCTCTTTTATGCTCTCAAGCCTGCGCTCGCGAACTTTTGACCCTTCATCTGTCGGGATCGCCTCTTAAATATGCTCGACGCTTGTTTGGCTTCAGCGTGGCCCTTTCATGCAACGCACACTCGGAATCCGACTATGCGTTTGATTAATTCATTTCCTTTGAGAGAGACGAAAAAAAGCAGGCCCTTTGCGGGTTGCCTATCCATATTAAAAAGGGAAATGAAAATTCGCCCAGGTGCAGCTCGTTCGCTTTAATTAAATTGACTGCCTTTTGCCAGACCAGGGAATTATTATTATTATTCGCGTCCGTCCCACGTGCTCGCAAGAGTGATTCTTGTCAAGTTTGTCTGCAACCAAGTGAACGAGAATGAAGGTTTGCGCCCAAAACGGGCTCTGTTTGCCACTTTCATGAGTGAGCGAGTTTAATGCGCGTGGTGCCGTTTTATTTGGGTTCTCTCTTGGCCATTTGACGGACGGCTGGACTGAACGTTCCCTTTATGTAATCTGGAACACCAGCAGCATTCGCGGTTTTATCCGTCGAAGCAGCAAATGAACTTCATCACGCCGCCGAGAGCTGATTAGTTATTCAATTCTCGCGCTACGCTGAACTTCTTATTCGCCGTTCAAGTTAATGAGTGGAGGTTTGAGAGCGACGGAAATTTAGTTAAATCGAGTGCGAAATTTTGTTTCGGGCCATTGTCTGCAAAGTTTCCGAGGCGTGGCAAAGGGGAAGCCAAATTAATTGGTTATTCATCCGCAAATTGAATGGAATTTCAAAGATGTTGGCCAAATAAGATTAAGTTGAAACCAAATTCCAAAGTGCTAATTTTTTATCACCTGAATTATTCCTTCAATCTTTTTATATAAAAATTTGGAAGCAAAATTGATTAAATATAATCAAATTTTAATTCATAATAGGACTAATGAAAATTAATTTTAACAGGGAAATCATGAATTGAACAAAAAAATATTAATCCCACTACTAAAAAGAGTCAGGATAAAATTGCATTTTCTTAAATTAAATGGCCAAATTAAACAGTACCTTTTTTATTCTGCCGTTTCATTATTAAAAAATTTGCCATTTATGTAATATAGCTCCCTTGAAAGTAAGAAAATAATTGTTACAAAGGTTTAACTCTTTTAATTTGGACGAAACGACAGAAATAAAAGGACCTCGTAAACGTTTCTTGCTAATCTTTCTTACGTACACACAAAATTATCGACCCGGCGTGCACGTACACGACCAGTCTGAAATGCCTGAGCACCAATTAAAAGACTCTCTCTCAGTCAGACCTGGCCCGTTCTTTTTTAACGACTTCCGAGAAGCAAAATCAATATTCGCCGTACTCTATTTATATGTGTACACTTTGCCAGAAATCCGTCCGTGTGTGTTTGTCCTTCTTCTGAATTGTGGGGACAAAGCCGTTCAATAATCGAGCTGCTGGACGACCCAGAGCAGACAATACTCGGCCGCCACAATTCTGCCAAGCGAAAATCGCAGCAGCGAGACGCACCCTCTTGCGAATTATTAATGCTCCGGCGGACAGCGACGGCTTTCGCCTGATATGCGATTCCCGCATTTCAAGCATAAATGTCAGATTAGACGTCAGGCGGGATGTTTCCGCTTTTCGAGTCGACGTTCAGCAACAAGGACGGGTCGAAAAGCGGAAAAATATTCTCATTTTATTTGAAAATATAAATAGGAAAATTAATAATGTACTAAAAGCACGGGGCATATCACAATGGAAAGGTCTTTACGGTTTGTGTACCCAGCATTTTGCAATTTGCTCGGGTATATTTTTTTTAGCCATCGGTGAGAGTACAAATTTATCTTGCGCTACCTGAAAAGGCCAGGAGAGAATTTTTCTCTGGGATAGAGCTTTGCTGCTGGGAGCGCTTTCGGCCGGCGCACAATGGAAGATGTGATGACTACTTCGTCGTCACAAAGGCAGAGACCATTCTACGGGCATTAATCATTTCTCTCGTGCTGCATGGAAGCAGCACCAGCGCCTATTCAAATCTAGACTCGAGAATCGTCACGGCTCTATTATATTTACAACACAACTCCCCGCGCTTGTTCTCTCTCTCTATTTTAACGAGATTTTCGTGGAGTAATTTTAATGGAGTTTTATTAAGATGGATGTAAAACACAGTTAGGAATGTAAAGTCATCCTCAGCACACTTTTATTTCTCTATTATTTGCTCTCGCTACGCGCATTAAGCCGGAGAAGATTGTTCGGATTTTCTTGATTACCGTCCATTTCAACAAGAAATATAATGGAAATGACCATCAAATATTTCCCTGCATTAAAAGCTCGTGTTTTAAGTCTTTATATTCTATTCAACGTGTACTGCTCTGTCTGTTTATTTTTTATATTTCCTGGACATGAAAAATTGAGAGGATATAAAATGAGGAAATTTACGGCAAACAAATAAAAAAAGGCCTTTCTTTAAAGAGGTGCAGACTGAATAAGCATCTTCGTTTAATGAAAAAAAAAAATAATAATATCTACTATCTAATTTAAAATAAATACATAAATTATAAATAAATAAAAATTCATCTGAAAAATTATTAGGAATTATCTTTTTAATTAACTTAACAATTTTAATTGAATCAACTTAATGTTTTTTAACTTTTTGTTTCAGATTGAAACCATGGGCGAGAGTTGTTCCGTAAGCTGAGGCGGTCGCTCATCGCAGCGCAAATGGCGCGTACGCAGAGTAGCGCCAGGGCATTGCTGGCCACCAGCCTGCTGGTGTTGTTGCACCAGGTGCTAGCCCAGAAGCCCACCTTCGACCCAGAGGGCCCGCCGGAAGGAACAACGCAGACCGACGGGCCCGAGCTGCACTTCAGCAGCTCATTTTACAACGTCAGCATCCCCGAGAATCCAGTAGGAAAAGTCTACGTGACCCCTACCGAAAAAATGGGCGTCTTCCGGATACCGGGCTTTGACGTGCGTTACAAAATTGTCGAAGGCGACAAGGACAAGTTCTTCAAGGCGGAAGAACGAGAGGTTGGTGACTTTTGCTTCCTGCTAATTCGTGCCAGGACGGGCACAAGAGACGTTCTCAACAGGGAGCGGAAGGACAAGTTCAACCTCAAAATCAAGGCGATGGCGCGGAGGTCGTCAAAAGAGTCACCGGCGGCTCTCGACTACTCTGACGTCAGCGCCCCCAGTGAGCTGGAGGCTGAAGTGATGGTGCGGGTCACGGTGCTGGACACAAACGACCTCAACCCGCTCTTCTACCCGACTGATTACGAGGAGACCGTCCTTGAGGATACTCCTCTGCACAAGAGCATCCTCCGGGTGACGGCCGACGACGCCGACATCGGCCTCAACGGCGAGATCTACTACAGTTTTATGGAAAACACGCACCAGTTTGCAATTCACCCAATGACAGGCGTCGTGACCCTGACTCGACCCCTGAGGTACAACGAGAAGGCAACGCACGAGCTGACAGTGCTCGCCAGGGACAGGAGCACCCTCCTCTTCCACCCTGGCAAATCGAATCCCAGCACCGCTCGCCTGAAAATCCACGTACGCCCTGTCAACCTTCACAGCCCTGAGATTACGGTGCACAGCTTACAGGAGGTTTTCGAGCAATCCACGAACGCCCACACCTATGCCCTAGTCAAGGTCAACGACCGAGACAAAGGTGTCCATGGAGAAATTGAATCTTTAGAAATCGTGGATGGAGACCCTGATGGCCACTTCAGAGTGCGAGAAACGGAGCAGAAAAATGAGTTCCGGATTGAGTTGTTGGGCTTGCTGGACCGAGAGCATTCACCCAAAGGGTACAACCTGACCCTGAAGGCATCTGACAAAGGCATCCCTCAGAGACACAGCTACAAGAACGTTCCAGTGCACATTTCGGACATCAACGACAACTCGCCCATCTTCAGCAAGGAGATTTATGAAGTAGAGGTGCCAGAGTCAGCGCCCATCAACTACCAAATTATCAGGCTGAAGGTCAATGACATCGACCAGGGCAAGAATGCGAAGGTCCTGCTGCAGATTGTTGGCGGAAATGAAGGTGGCGAGTTCAGCATCAACCCAAAAACAGGAATGCTATACACGTCTAAGCTTTTGGATACTGAGACTAAATCTTCGTACGCTTTGACAGTGTCTGCCATCGACAGCGGGCGAGCCGGAGTACGCAAGCAGTCGTCGGCAAAGGTCAAGATCATCATCCAGGACACGAATGACAATGACCCGTTGTTTGAAAGCAGCGACATTGATTATGAAATGAATGAAAATGAGCCGGCTGGATCTTCGGTGACCAAAGTTCTGGCGCGGGATAGAGACTCCGGTGAAAATGCTTACATTTCATACAGCATCGTCAACTTGAACCCTGTTCCGTTTGAAATTGACCACTTTTCTGGAGTCATCAGGACGACGCAGGTGCTAGACTACGAGTCTATGCGTCGAGAATATCTGTTGAGAATTAGGGCGTCTGATTGGGGCCAACCCTTTCGCCGTCAAACAGAGATGCAGCTGCACATTCGCATCAAGGACATCAACGACAACAGACCCCAGTTTGAGAAAGTCTCCTGCACAGGGAGGGTGTCCCGCTTTGTGCCCATTGGCACTGAAATCATCACGTTCTCCGCCATTGACTTTGACGCTGGAAATATCATCACCTACAGAATCGTCTCTGGAAACGAAGACAACTGCTTCGCCCTTGACTCTACTTCTGGAACTCTGACCGTGACCTGTGACCTCACTGACCTCAGAACAGATGAAAGAACTATCAATGTGACAGCCACAGATGGTCTCAATTTCGCCGACGTCACTTTTGTAAAAATGCAGCTTCTTAATTCCAAGCCGAGCCACCAAATGCTGAGCGATGCTGAGGCTGCTTTTGACTGCTGGGACACAGGAGTGGCTCGCAGACTGACAGAAGTTTTAGCCTCCGCTGAAAAGAACAACGCTCCTGGCCAAGAGGAGGTTTTTGCCATGATGCCAAGTCGTTACGGTGACAACGTCCACTCTCCAGAATTCCTCGACTTTCCAACACAACTTCAGATCAACGAGTCAACTGCCTTGAACACCGTCATTGCTACCCTGAAGGCCAGAGATCGTGACCTTGGCTACAACGGAAAGATGATTTTTGGAATCTCCAATGGTGACGTTGACTCGGCCTTCAACTTGAATTTGGAAACTGGAGAGTTGAAAGTCGTCGGTTACTTGGACAGGGAGCTGGAGTCCGAGTACTTCCTGAACGTGACTGTCTATGACCTTGGAAAGCCACAGAAGAGCGCTTCCAGAGTGTTGCCAATCACCATTCTGGACATCAACGACAACGCGCCGAAGTTTGAGAAAACCCTGGCCAGCTTCAAAGTGTCCGAAAACGCGAAAAACGGCACAATCATCATGACCTTGAACGCTACTGATATCGACGAGGGTGAAAATTCAAAGGTGGTGTACAATTTGGAGACCGACACCAAGGATTTCTCAGTCCACCCCGTCAGCGGAGCCGTAAGTGTTGCTGGAAAACTCGACAGGGAGCGCCAGAGCACTTACGAATTGAAAATCAGGGCCAGCGACAGCTCAAAAACGAGGCCTCTTAGTTCTTTTGCATTGGTCAGGGTAGCTGTTGATGACGTAAATGACAATGCACCGAAGTTTTCTCTGGACCATTACTCGATAAAGGTGCGCGAGGACATACCAACTGAGACAGTCGTTGCCTTCATCAATGCCGTTGACCCAGATCTTGGCCAGGGAGGAGAGGTAAGAGGATCAATTTATTCAGTTATTTTTAAAATATTGGAAAATTTGAAAAGTTCAATTTAACTTAATTAATTAATATATCCTTATTTTTATCCACTATTAAAGTATTAAATATAACTTTGGATAATTATTATACTTAATTTTATGATACTTGATATTTTACAAATTTTCTTTCATTCTGTTCAATATTTTTTTGTGTAATCTAAAATAAAATTCAATTATGTAAAATTTAGCAGTTTGGATCACACAATTAATAGAAAGGTTTCTCAAATAATATTATTTGTGAAACCTTTCTTATTACATAATATTTTTAATATTGTATCGAAATAAAAATGAGGGTCTTTTACTTTTACATACATTTTTAAACGCTTTAAAACTTGAATTATTAATTTTTACTTTTTTGCAACTGTTGCAGGTGAAATACTCACTTGTGCCCGGCCCAGACACGTCGTCCTCGTTCAGCATCGACAAGAACACTGGCACCCTGCGGCTGACGCAGCCGCTGGACTTCGAGGAGCGCCAACTGCACTCGCTTGTGATCAGGGCGAGGGACAAAGGCACGCCGTCGCTCTCCTCGGAGGCCACGCTGCAGGTGGAAGTGGTTGACGTGAACGAAAATCTGCACCCGCCGCAGTTCAGTGATTTTGTTGTGTCGGTCGCCGTGGCCGAGAACCAGCCGCCCGGCGCCCACGTGGCGCAGGTGGTGGCCACGGACAAAGATCCGCCCGGTGACGACAGCAGGATTAGCTACTCGATTCGCGGCGGCGACGGCGTTGGACTCTTCGCCATCGATAATCAAGGTAGGACTAAATTTCTTTTATTCGCGCAAATTCCAAAATAATCGAAAATTAGTTTAGATAAAAGCGGTATTTTTGAGAAAGGAATGCATTTTTCGCGTTATTAATTTTTATATTTTTAAATATGTTCAAAATATTTTTTTTTTAAATTTACTAGAAAATTCAGAGCTTTAAGAATTACTTTAAATTAATTAAAATCAGCAGTAGTAATTAATTTTTAAGAGGAATAACAAATTATAAAAATTACATTTGATTCACTATCTTGAAAAGCCGAATCATTTTGACGAAGATCAACCTGAAACGAATATAAATTTTGAGAAGGACTCCTTTTTGCCCAATTTTCCTTCGCCCATGACAAACAGCCTGAACGTCGCGTCGACAAGTCAAGTGCCCATTTCGAATCTTGTTTTCCTTATATTCGTTTGCTGCGTCTCTCGTTCTCTCGTAAAACGCGACTTGATCTTTCCACGTTCCGCGTAGTCCACAACAATAAGCATTCAGCTCGCATTCCGCCAACGAGTTTGGGACCGGCTGCTCGTTTTTCTCTGTTACATACAGACCAAATGACCCGATGTTTCGGACCACTTGAATAGAATATTCTCGTGGATACGTTTTATTTTTATTTTCGGTGGCCCGGCCGATGAGTATTGCGCATACAAAACAGGCAGGCCGTGCAATAAAATTCACGTCAGAAAGATGAAGGGCGCCGGCAGCAGCTTGCCGGGTGCATTATTCAACCGCAAAAACATCTCGTGCGGTTACGGCGCGAGTGAAAAATGAAAAAGCCAAATGCAAGACAAAGCTCCTGAGCCGTAATGGGGCGGCGTTTGAATTTTTTACACGGGCTCTTAGCACGGACGAGCGGAGAAAACAAGAGTCGAGGCTCATTTCGCTGCGAATCTCGGCCGCTGTTTCCCTTGATTGTTTGCCTAATGCATTATTTATGGGGGCTAGACACAGCAGAGCGAGAGTGAAAGGGAAAGATAACTGCAAACAAGAGATTTAGCCCTCGGCTGCAAAATGTTTTCAAAAAGAATTAAGCCGTATTTCTCCGAGGGCTCTTTACCCTTCTCAAAACAGAAGCTGGCATTGCTTTAAATCGCAAAGTCCTTAAATTTGCATAAGCAAAATACACTCGTATGTTTTGAAATATTCACAGAAATTCATAATTTATTTGTTTTCTAAATGAAAAATTAGTATAAAGAAATCCCAGACAATAACGAAAGACTTTCTCTCTTTGTAGAAATTTACAAAATTAATTTTAATCTAACAGATTTAAGAATTGCACAAACTTTTGTAAAATTCAGTATTGTATCGGAATCCAAAAGTAATTTAAATTATTGTAACTTAAGACTTATTAAATTTGCTTAACTTATAATTTAGGTGATTTGAGCTAACAAGGAACACCAGGAATTACTTAATTTATTTACACATTCTTGTCTTTAAACAATATTTATTTTTGTTATCGTCAATTTTCCGGGAAGAAAATAACAAGATCCTAATTCTGCCCCTAAAAATTTTTTTCTATTCTTTCCCTCTTTTGTGGTAAAATATTTCTAAAATGAGACCACTTTAAAATTTATCTGATAAATTGAATTTTTGCATACTTTTTATACCAAAGAGCACCAAAAAGAACTCAAGTCATCCAAAACACAATTTGCAACCAGAAGAAGAAAAAGCGACATTTTCTTTCAATTTCCTCATACTTTGTTGCTGCAAACTGGAGTTACTCGAGAGACACACAAGAGCAAACGTCGCCGGCTCCTGAGGCTGTGCAGAATCAGCTGGTGAATAACGAGCTCTAATTTCACCCGAAGCAGCTCGGAAGAACACAGATGAGTCTCTTTGTGTGGCTCCGGCGGCTGATCTGAAGTTGCGCCAAAGTTGAGCTCTCGTCCCATGGCGAAAAGCGGCGAAATGATGGATGGCGTGTAATGTATTGTGCGCTGCAATTATCAGCCACATTGTTTTGAGAGAGGCCAAAGTCGGGTGTGACGCATCCCCCGGCAGCGGGGTCGGTCAGCGGCGAAAGTAGCAGCTGAGCAATCCTTTATTGCTGCCCAGGGGGAGGAATCTAATATTGTCCGCCGCCGCCACCGCACGAGACGCAAATTACAATTTGCTGCCGGCCACGCAACAAACAGCCGCCGCCGCTCCGAGCTCACACACAATGTACGTACGTACGTCGTACATACGCCCGCGCGATGTTTTAATGAATTTTCCGCGTGCAAACCAGAATGTAATTTAATGTATTCATCACGCATGCCACTCAGCGAAAGTTGCTCGGTCACACACTTTTTTCCCGCAGTAATGAATTTAGGCGTTAATTATTTATGTTGATAATTGTATGCGTAGATTTCAATTTACTTCAGCAATGGACTTTTTTATAAAAAATTAATTTCATTGTCATTTTGCAATTTAAATAAAAATGTCCCATAAAGGCTGTTTTTTAATTTGAAGAAAAAAAATCGTTTATATTCTTCTGTATTTTTAACAAAACGTCAAAATTCGCCTTAATTTTTGGAAGGATATTAAAAAGAGACTTTATATCACAAGTTTCACCATTTTCAAAGATAACATGTCTATATTTTATTTGATTTTGTTCAACACTTTACAATAATTAGCCCCAATTTCGACGGCTAAAGCTGTTCACCTGCTGTTGACATTTGTATGTGGAACGAAGTGCTGCTGTAAACTCGATTGAATTGAGTTAATTAAGCTTGGCATGAGACTTGACAAATTGGACCTGCGGGAAGCCTAAACTCAAAAAGCCACATATTTTGGGATCAAAAGTCTCTCAAAGAGCAACTAATGATGGAGGAATTTGTAAGAGAACTTTTATCTCCATGGAAACAATTTTATAATTGCAATTTATCCCTCAAGTTAAAAAACTCATTACCATTTTCTTAAGAAATGTTGATTGAAAATTGTGCATGATTGAAAGCCTTCATGCAAATTAAAACTTTCATTAGTAGTTTCAAAGAAAAACTACTTCTTGAATAATTCGCCATTTGATCGAAAATGCTCTCGCAGAGCCTGGATTTCCACGTTGGGCTTTCTATTAGATAAAACTTCTCCGGAAAGCCATCAGCGAAGTAGGAGCAAAGCTTTACTTGAGAGTGAAGACAAACTCGATAAAACAGGTGCTCGGCCAGATAATTTGCAGCCGAGCATCTTAAACTCACTTTTCAGCTTTGCCACCCACGCAAATTAGTCTGGCAGCGTCGCCGGAATTAATTCCATCCTTCATTCATGGGCCGGTCGGTCTATCGTGCAAACAGCACAGGTACATGATTGTGGGGCCCAGAGAGATTCAGTCTCGTGATTTGTTTGGCAAACATCTGGTAAGTCAACACGTGAAAGAGTAGAGTCTTGGGATACCAAATTTAAGCGGCTTTTGCGCGCAAACACTCGAGTACACTGTATATGCTCGCCAAACATAGACTTTCGCGAAAACCAACCAACTCTATGGACGAGGTGGGTGGGTGCCTTGTTTGTCCAAGTTTTGCTCTGCCGAGCCTGCGCTGAGTAATTAAAGCCGAACGTTAACATTGGGGACCGTAAGTTTTTTGTGAAAGCAAACTGGCCTCCAGATTCTGGCAAATATCATTTTGGTACGTAAATGATCAATCAAATTATTTTGTTTGAAGAAGTTGACACTCGAGGAGATGATCATGGAAATAAAGATTCGGGCTTTTTCAAATTATTAGCTCAAAAAAAGCTTAAAATACGTGGAATGTTTTTGTTTTCAAGTTTTTTCAAAATGGTAATTATAATTTTGATTAAATTTGCTTTTAATTGTTGGAATTACAGTTAATTTATAGGAAATGTTGCAAAATACGGGAAATTAGTGGATGAAACTGAAAAGATTTTTCAGATTTAGAATCATTTTTTGAATATAAATTATATCTTTGGTTCCTTGATTCAAAATTTTGAATCAATTAAACGCTTCAACCTAAATAGGCTGAAAAGTGTGAAAGCAAAATAAATTTTCTGCTCATCAATCAATAAAAAAGATTTATAAAAATCAAACCTATAAATTAAAAAAAAAAAATGTACGAGCATTGGAAATTTTACAATTCAAAATTACCATTTATGAAAATTTTCATAATTAAAGTTTTCAATTTTCATTGTACCTCTTCCTGTGTTGTTGTTGTTTTTTTTCTCTTTACAAGCAAGTTGAATATAGTCACGGAGTGAAAAATCGGGTCCTTAATTCCTTTAAAATAAACAATTATTTTTGCTAAAAAATTAGACGTCTTTACAAGTTTTAGTTCTAGTTTCCTATGCTTGATTTCACAAATAAAAGTAATTATAAAATGTGGTGCAAACATTAAAAACCGTTGTAATAAAAAAAAATTAAGTTCCTTCTCTGCTTTTCATCTACTGTGTGTTTTCTTCGTTTCTAAAATTTTATGAATTAGTCATTTTATGATGAGACCACCGTCTATTACGATTATCTTTGTGCTGATCGCCAGCACTTGAAAAGGCACTAAAACGTTGGTTATGGAGTTTGGGACGTGGCACGCTTTCCATGAATAATAGGTTAAAACAATGTTTCAACGGTTGCTCGCTCTGCAGCGCAGGCTTTTAGCGAGCAACGGGCTTTTTGCCGAGTGAGTGGTTTTCAAAAATTCATTTCCATTGTAATTGTAATGGCTGTCATGTTCATAGAGATTCAATGATTAATGAGGGAAAGCCTTTAATTTTGCATCGGAACGTGTAACTATAGCGGGAGAGAGAGGACGTCGTCAGCGGGCAAATTTATCACAGCCAGTTGCTGCTGATGGTGGCGGCGGCGGCGAGGAGAGAGCAAAAATGATGCGCGAGAGCATTTTCTTACAAAGTCCTCTCTTTGTTACATTCACGATATATTCCCCGAGGTGCTTTTGCCGCAGACGCAATATGATTCATCAGATGGCTCGCTCAAATATTGATGCGACATCAGAATAAAGCCGTGCGCTCTCTTTTGTATTGTTCGCTCCTCCGACGACTGAAATGGC